CTCAGAGGATGAAGAAGAAGACCAGCGCCACAGTATCTGATGATGACGAAGTGTCGGAAGACTTCCCGGGTGGAAGTCTGCAGCAGCGCCACCAAACCCTGACAAGATGACCTCTGAGGAAGAAGGCTGCAGCTATGGCTGCAGCGCCAACACCCTGGAACCGCACTCCGGAGGAGGGTCCAGCAGGGCACCAATCTCTCTTGCCTCCAGCAGACCTCAATAACCCAGACCTCTGTCAGCCCCTGCGTGCTGGCAGAGTACAGCGCAGGTCCCAGCTATGGTCGGCGCTGCGAAGGTCTGGCTATGCCTGTCTCTCTCCACGCTGAGCCGTCACCACTTCCGGTTCACGCGTAGCGCAGCAGCGATGTACTCGGTACCAACTGCCAAAAAAAACCTGAACCGATGTGTTCATTCTATCTATAGACTACAACTAGCCTAGACTCGACTAAGAGCGGAATGACTGACCGACCGGTACCGTTTCTGTTTCGGCCTCTCGGCCTCTACCGGACCCAGCTATAGGCTATAGGACCGTCTATCAGAATAGGCCCTTAGGGCCTGTCTGTCCTAGGGGTAGCCCGGGCCTGCTATCCGCAGTTAGGGTAGCTGTAGGGAATCCGGTTAGTACCAGGCCTGAATTTCCCGGATTTGCAGATATGTCCCTCACGAATTGCCCTCACAGGTAGGTCTCTCGGTTAGCCCTCGGCCAAACAAAATTGCGAATCTGTCCTACCTATAGTACAGCCTCGACAGAGAGAGGCTACAGGCGACCAGAAAACAGCAAGTCATTGCAGCTGTCCATGACTTGGGCTCATCCCCCTGTGTACTGCAGTTGATGAGGGCGTGCTCTCTTCATCGAACCGTGGGACAGGTAGGACAACACTGCTCAATCTTTCCCGAGGTGGATTGCTGTCCTCGCTGTCCGTTTGGAGGGGCGAACTCAATGGTGAAATTGTGTAATCTTCAGAGGATATGAAATTGATAAGTGAAGCGAACACATCTGTTGCAGGTGGGATGGTGGTGGTGTCCTCACGACACTCTCCGCCAGTGTCACTCATGTCGACATCAAGGTCAGCATTGGCCTTCCCTGCAGGCACATCCGCTGCGTCCGCAGGGTAACCTGCACCAGTATCACTCACGGTCACACCAACAGCAACACCACCGTCCACTATGGAACTCCCTCCAATTGCCAGACTACAAGCAACCCCAAAACTGCTGTTGTGCACGGTCGAACTCCCACCAACTACAGTGCTCCCATGAACATGATCAGCAGCTGAACCCGTGCCACCAACACAAGTGCTACGTTGCAATGCTGATCTCCCACCAATAGCCACGGCTGCAGAAGCATGATAACCAATAAAAGTGGTCACACAAGAACGTGCGCCACCAACTGCACTTCCGTCAACCCGGGTGGCAGGAGTAGCGGTAACACCACCAACCAAATTGTCATCTCCCTGCTCCCTGCGTGACACAGTCATCCTCACCCTGCTACACTGAAGAGGCAAATCAGCTATCTCGTCCTCCTCCTCCTCATCGTCCGAATCCGCTGAAACATCCTCCACCACCCTGGCACGGTCCGCTTTGAGCGGAGGTGTGTAAGTCTGAGCAGCCAACCATGCTCCGTCATCCTCAACCTCATCTAGAATATGATGAACGTAAAGCATTGTTGCCTTGGATAAGCGACTGTCTGCTCTCGACCAATTTGCGGCCCGTCTCGCCATGTCCTCCGGGTCGTACTCCCCATCCTGCATAAATCCGTCATGTGGGGCCACATCCTCCGGAGTCTCCCAGTCGAGCCACTCGGTGTTCACGTAACCTCTCTTCAACCACGACATTCAAAGAAGCTTGGTGTTCCAATGCACGAAGACGAGCTTCTCCAACGTTTCAGGAGACAGCTTATTGCGCCTCTTGGTGTGCATGAGGTCGAATGTCGACCAATTCCTTTTGCATGGGGACGCGGTGGTCCACATGCTGAGGACCTTGATGGCAATGTTGTGCAACTTGATGTGTTTCTTACCATAAGTCATCCACCATTGTGCCATCGAGATCCTCTTGCTGGACAGGTATTCCTCTGAGTTCTCACCCGTCCACTCCGGGTCCCGCTGGTGGAAGCTCAACAGTGAATCCCAACATTCTATGTACGCTTGCATCCCAGCTGGATAAATCGTCGCAATGTGGGCTAAAGTGTTGTGTATAAGTGGGGCCTCCAGGTTGTCAAACAGATCAGCAGAACGGCTCGCAGGGTGCAGCATGTGTGTTGCTGCATGCACGGGAAGCGCCATCATCTCCATGTGCTGCTTCACCTTCTGCATCACCACCTTCCTGGTGTCATCGTCCATAGGAGCACTCTTCATTCTGTTTTTTAAAGAGACGGCAAGATTCCATATGTGAGGACCCATTCGGTCGTTGCTGTCAATGGTCCGCATGAACTTGTAAGCCGGCTCCAGCAATTTAACAGCCTCATCCACTGTCCTCCACCACTCCACACTGTGCACGAGCTCCCTGCATGCACGTGCCGTTCTATCTTGCTTTTCTCCCATGGGGCCGCATCCCACTCGCTGCTGCACATTGTGTCCATCAACACAGTCTCCATCAGCTGCAGTCTCTTCAGCATAAGGTAATGAGTTCCAAAACGGGTCTCCCCCGGTGCGATGAGCTCCAATGCCTTCCCACTGCTCTTGTCTCCTCGTGCAGCCACCTCAACCCTCCTCTGCTTCCCTTTCCTCCTCAACATGGCAAGAGGCCTTTGATGCCTCTTGGCGAAGAGTGTAATGTCTCTACCTTGTGCAATCACCTCCGCGACCTACGGCACACTGGCAATGTCCACCATGAGGAGGTTGCAAATGTGGCATGCGCAAGGCACCCAGGGGATCTGTCGTATTTCAGGGTCTGGATGCTTTGCAAGGATGTTCCTAGCAGAGATGTTGACCTGTGCAGAGTTGGTGCATATTGTGTTGATGTTCTTCACACCCAACTCCCTGATCACCCCCTCCCACATCTTAGCCAAGGTCGGTGCTGACTTGTCCTTCCCTTCCATATCCATGCTCTTCACCATCACTGCGCCCTTGTCTCCTCCGGCAAGGAAGTTGATCACCGGCCTGTTGCTGGTTGTGGTCGTGCCATCCGTCATGAGAGTGTATCCAGTTTTAGGCCATGTGGATCTGATCTCATCCATGTCGGTGTCAGTCTTCTTGTAGCTTCCCTGCAGCTCGTCAGTCCTCAATAAGTCGTAAGACAGCAGCGTCAACACTTTCTTTGCCCTGGTTGCGTCACCCGCGACCTTCTCAATTTTTTTGTAGGCATCAGAGCGCGCTGCATTGAATGCAATTGCATTTTCATAGAAGAATTGTGCAACCTCGTAATTCATCTCCCTCTGCAGCTCATCGACCAAGTAGATGGTCATCGACGACTGTTGCCTGGAAGCATTGCTGCGTGGAGGTCGCAGTGGGAGATCCGCTGCTGCACCATCTCCTGCAGGTGTTGGCTCAAGCCTGCTGCCCTCCTCTAACGGGACATCCCCAGAAGGATCCTCCTCACAACCATCCTCGCCGACGCCCATTCCAATCGGTGTTGAGGACGGGTACCCAAGCTCCCGCATGTGGGCATCCAGTCTGCCAAACAGTTTCTGCGGGATCTTGCTCTTTCCTTCTGCCTTGTAAATGGCGCACAAGATCTCCCCATTGGCATGCTTGCACCGGGCGCCGTCTGATGGTTGGATGAAATGGTTGACGGCCCGATTGACGGCCCCATCAAGCTCCTTGGAGCACAACCTGCACCGCATCCTCCATGACCCATTTGCCCTGCCAACGTTCTTCTGCCCCCGGTCGACCCATTGCCATATGTCGTGCTTCAGCAACACCTCTTCCCTCTCGTCTCCTTCCACAGCCCTGAACGGCTCCCTCGCCCTGCCGCCCTGACCCACTGACATCCTGCCTTTAAAATAGAGGAGGGAGATGAAAAAGAGGAGGAGGAGGAAGAAGAGGAAGAAGAAAACGAAGATCCGGGCTTCTGACTCCTTGTTCAAGACTCTGGCCAAAGCAATGGAAGCCTTCAGATTGGCGTCAAAAATTAAGATCAATTGAAAAAAGACAATTGGGTAGTGGCTTGCGGATGAGGATCTTCCTGATCTGCAAGGGGCTGAGGTTGCCATATGGGACACGCCGGATACTTCTACCCGTTATTGGGGTATTCTGATGACTAAGGAGGGTCTGGCACCCCAAACAGCCCAAAACGTTCTTGGAAAGCAAATAAATAAGCTAGGGAGATAGGGAAACACATTTGCCTCATTAATTGGTCGATCGCTGGTGCTTAACACCTCGGTATTCTCTATGATGTGGTATATTGCCTCTATATGGACAGTTCCCGACAATTCAATTAAGGAACTGAATCACATAGCACAGACCTATCTATGGACAGGGAACCCCAGCAAAAAGGGAAGCATCCCCAAGATTGCATGACCGTATATCATTAGGAAGCCGCTCTATGGGGGTCTAGGGATCCTAGATCCTAGATACGAGACAAAAGCCCTCCAAGCTAAATGGGTAGTCAAACTATTGATGAAGCTAGAAAGCGCATGGAACAAATTAGCATTAGACAGCATCAGAGCATTGACACCAGTAGGCTCGCCGGAAAACATGACTGTTTATTTTGGGTAATGACTAAGGAATGGAAGCTGAAGGCAGGAAGGAGAAGACAAAGAAGGGAACCTCATCTAGACACAGTCAGACACCCTACCCCATACTAGGCGGCTCAGATTCGGATCTGGAGAGAATAGTACCAAAGAAGTCCGACAGACCAAGATCCATAGATGAGGTTTTAAGACAACCCCTGTTCGGCAACAAATGGGTGACAAACGAAGGGGATAACCCTATATATTTAGACCACAGATGGCTATCGTGGGTAAAAAATGGGGTATGGACAGTAAGTCACCTATGGAGCGAAGAAAGGAAAGAGTGGGCAACCGAACAGGATTTGAGCACACGCCTGAAGGGTTGCCACAGACGAGGGCCCAACCTCTAATACATTATTGACCGCATCCCACAGGACTGGAAACATATTTTGAATGAAGCGTCGTCCTGGAAGGTCGGAGAGTGGGGAGTTAAGGTGCAAGAGTCCCCTCCCTCACGAGCCCTCCAATTCTCACATATGCAACCGGGATCGACCACCAAAGTCGTTTTTTCCTCCTTTTCGATCTCCCCATCCAAGCAGGGCATGCCATCAATACTTAATAAAGATATGGAATCGGTAGTTATAGATTTCTTTCTACGTAGAAAAGTAAGAGTGTTAGGTCCATGGCCTAAGTTAATTTTCAGACCAGACACGGCAATACGAAACCTGGAATTCAACCTGGCAGAATGGGTCTGGACACCGGACAAGGATAGGAATATCAAGTCTAAGGTCCCTACATACGACTACACAGTTAAATTTGGCTACAAACTTCTGGCTAAGACCAAAGACCCGGATCCTATAATCAAGAATAGGTGGCAGAAACTAATCGGCCAGGAAGCTGACAAAGTTACATAGATTCCGTGGAAGAAATTTAAGACTATCAGGCCGATAGAAGCCTTCAATGGCTTATCACATACGCGACATTGCCTGTGAATCAATGGCTGCACATAAGACGCCACCCACCAGTTCGGACCTATGCACAGTCTGTATAGAAGGGGCTCAGGAAGATGTAGTACACTGCCTAATCCACTGTAGTGAGGCAACGGATTACTGGGCACGGGCCTCAGCCCTTTGGGACTCCCTTTTCCATGCCCCTTTCTCCGAGCATCCCATCCAACTTCTCCTCTGGACTAACATTCCTGACCAGCTCCAAAAGACAGAAAGGTTGTGGTTCGTCCTGATCAGGAAAGTGACGTTATGAATCATTTGGAAAGAGAGATGCTACAGAAACATCGAAGGACTTTCCAACCCAAGAGAGAAGGTATGGGCGGAGACGAAAACCATACTACAGGCTGCAATTCTTTGCAGATGGCAGAGGTTAAAGCAGTCGATACATGAGGACGAGGATCTGCCGAAGAATGTTAGGAGGAAGTTCACCAGGTTGTGGTTGGTGAACGGTAAGGTGGCTGAGCTACGGAATGATCGAGTAGTTTGGAAAGACTGGCATAATTCAGAGACAGCCCGGAGAGCCCAGATGGTGCCTGCGGTGGATAGGCAGTTGAGTTGAAGCGAGAAAGGGCTACCAGCTACCAGGGAAGAGAGTCAAGAGGACAGTCGCAGACGCTGCAAAGACTGGTTCGGACCGGGCATGCAATCGGAAGGGCCTAAGGCTACATGGATAATCACGGAGAAAGGGCAGGCAGTAGAGAGTACAGATCTACCACATATCCTGGTACAGGTCGGAACACAAGGGACTTGGAGAACAGGTTATTATAGACGTTATGAATCTGAAAGTGAGAAGACATAAGTGACCATGGACTACAGTCTGCAGGATGTCTCAATGAAAGGACAAACAGAGAAGGTGTACCATTAGGAGGAATAGGGGAGGGGCTAGTATTAAAGGGTTTTAGCCATCTGGTAGCGACTCAAGGGCTTAGGGTTTAAGGGTTTTGGCCAGCAGGTAGCGCCTCAAGTTAGTGGATTCATTGTAAACAGGGTTCAGGCTACTTGATAGAGGTTACAGGGATGCTAAGGTATGGAAGTGCTCGTAGTTGGGTAAGGGCCTTTCTTGATCCTTTCGTTGTAGCTGACAGGTTCCTACAGGGGGCCTGAGAGGGAAGGACTTAGCGGGGCAAGCTGACAGCCAATCCTCCATATAGATGGAGCAATCAATGCTGATCAGGGTTCCTTCGGCCGTACGGAAGGAAGCATGTGGGTGTGTTCATGTTGTATTATTCTCTTTGACTTACCGGTGGAATAGGAATCGGACTGATGCTCCCTAGAATGGAAATGGAGCCAGGGCCATAAGGACCTGTTTGAAAAAAAAAAAAAAAAAAAAAAGTGCCATTCGCCGTGAGGCCCCAAGTACGAAGGTGCTCGATGGGGGAGGCACAGCAAGCACAGACAGAGGTGAGCCTGTTTCAACCCTCTCCCTGGCCATGGACCCCCTTCACCGTTGACACCCTCCACCTACCCATCCCCATCCTTGGATACCCCAGTTGCATGACTGATTGCATGTTAAGCTGGAAGTGTCGGTCAACAAACCTCCTGTCGGGATTCCCCTAATCGCGGGCATTCATCGTTGACATCCCAAATCACCTCCTGCGGGGATTCCCCTAATAGCGGGCCTTCATGGTTGACATCCCAAATCTCCTCTCGCTGTCCTCCATTCTTGAATACCTCACTGGTTGCATGTTGGATTGGGGTTGGCAACAAACAGACTCCATACTGGTCGTATTGGAGTTGACGGACAATCGAGGGACAGAATCTGGGACTGAGGGTCCCGATCGCCACGGTGGAAGGTCACTCGGTCAAGTTCGGTCCCCCTCCTCGATATCGCGATCTACCTAAAGAACAAATTAGAAAGCATACGGTCTCCTCAGTGCTCGGGACTAAGGCAGGCAAAAAGCCGGGTCGTTCCGCAATTTTTTATCAAGACGCCATGCGCCAGCCCACGCAAGGAAAAGAAACCCTCGGGCAAAAGGCCCACCCCACAGCGAGTAACCATGGTTGGCGCCCAACCCCCTCATAGTGGAGAACAGCCACAGCAACCACGACAGGTAGCAGGGACAGGCACAAGCACTCAGGCTGCCACCTCGCACAGCCCTGCCCAGATGCGGATAACACAAGAGAGGACCGAATCCCAAAACAATACGGCCTCCTCCTCATGGGCTGACAAGGTTAAACGATTGTACACTGGAGAATCCTTCTGTCCCACGAGGGGAGGGGGAGTCCGCGGGCCAGAGCTGGCAGATTCCACTCGAAAACCTCACAACCGCTAGTGCTTTCTTTTTGTCAAAACTGCTCACAAACTTAGAAGATAAAATAGTAAGCCATTGGGGTAGGAAACAGCAGGTCAAGACAGTCCCCATGACAAAGATCAAAGAGAGAGACAAACTGTACACCCGTCATGCAAGCAATTGGGTGTCCTATGACGATGACACATACAAGTCAGCCAATGATAAGGTCGGTTGGATCAGAAAGAAACTTGCAACCCTCAAAGGGAGTGAGGAAGGGGCAAGGGATTTTGTCCTGATCCAACTGGTCTCATTGTCAGTTTTCATAGTAATCTGCATGTTTGACGTTGACAAACGACTGATGGACATTTGGCGCAATGTGCGGTGCGGTCGGTCAGAGGTCCGTATTTATCCCTGGTCGCCACACAGACAGCAAAATAAGGAAGAAAAGTGAGAACAGCTCATGGCTGACCATTACTGGGTGGAATACCGCCACATCTCGATCGAAATCCAGGCCACGTTCGTGCAAGACCTCGCACAAAAATACGACATAGTTGACGTCATCGATCCCCTACCACAGTACGTTGCACCACGGGATGACTATCTGATGATAGCGTTGGATTTACCGACAGGTCAAATCTTTCAAATCGATGATGTAATCCCCTTCAGAATCGGAGGTAAGGATCTCAAAATCCACACTGCATACAAAATGTGCCCCTGGTGTTTCAAATGCCAGTCATACGGGCACAGTTTCTCCGAAGCAGATTGTCCTCACCACCCGGCCAAACGCATCAAAGCGACAGGTCGTCTGCTTCGTGACCCTCTCAAGACAACGCACTAGCGGACCGTAGACCTGCGACACGAAGGGTGGGTGTATATCGATGAGGCTGCAGAAGGGGGACACGTCAGGGGGTGGGCATGGGAGAAAAAAGAAGCAGCCAACTTGGATAGCAGACCACCTGACCACTGGAAACCACCGCACTCTGTCGAAGACCATCTGGGGGCGAAACAAAAGAACCCGTCCCCCCAGCCCGATGGGGTGCTGCGAGAACCACGCCCCGAAAATTATCTGAAGATGATGGATGTAGCAGAACTATGGCAAACAGTTTCTTCAAAAAAATCGGAGAAAGCCGCCGCTGTCAAAAAATTGTCTGCAACAC